AGGGAACAAGTCCGTGTACGTGCGCTGCCACGATCACTACGGCCGATAGAGCGTCTCCGCCTCCGTCTAGCGGAGATTCTGTGTACACTCTGGATGGAATGCTGCTGTTTCTCGGTTGTGGATAGGGGAAAAATGAAATAGTATAATCTTAAACGCTCATGGAGGGGTTCAATCAATATATGTATATATGATTAATAACATACGGATTTTTATGCTAAATTAAAATGTGTTTAAGTAGAGATTTGCTTCGTTCCTCAAATATAATAATCATACGCGTATTCAAATTTTGCATAAATGCATAAATATCCATAATTTAATGATCAGTGGGTATGTCGAGGCTGGGAAAATTACGAGAATTTTTTCTTAAGGATGAATCTATGTAACGTTTTCGAGAAGTTAATAAAGTAAATAAAATGAAAATGAAAATCTCAATACAAGATGTGTAAATAAGATTTCATAATCTATAGATTATAATAAAGTTATATTTCCTTATTAAAATTAAATACCAATTATTTATCTATTAAATAATTAATCGTTATTACAACAATATCCGTTACAATAACTCGATTTCTTTGTCTGCAAAGGATTAAAACGTTCGTATAAAACATAAATTTTCTTCACGTTATATTCTCGATTCGCAGTGCAATAAAAAAAAAAAACGAAAGAATTTCTCAAAAAAGTACAAAGTAGATTGCATCTCAGCGGCCTTCGGAATCCCGAGTCAACCGATCAAATAAAATTTACGACGCGCGATAAAAAACGTAGGACATAAATAACCAATCAAAAAAATATATATTCGCTTAAATTCGATTAAAATTAATAAGCATCGGGGAAAACAATTACTCGAACACGACGAATGAATCTACATCAGCGCGATAATTTTTTCCGGAAGCTATGAATCCCGATTAAACGAAACTCTATGTACCCCATTTGTTCGATGTTTCAACGGTGTGACAGTGGCCGACGAATATTTCAAAGCGCCACGGGCTATCCGTCGGTATGGCCGCACCTCTCTTTATTTCCTCCATTCCGTTCCAAACTCGAAATGACGCGAAACCGGATGACAAATGCTGCACAATTACGCGACAAGTCGTTTCGAGGAGATCCACGATTCGAACGCGGTTTCTCGCGTGTATCCACTTCCATGATACTTTTTACACGGGAGTCTCCCTTGTCCGTCCATCACGCTCGTTGTGTTCTCTTAAAAATACGCTTGAAAGATTGAGAAAGATCGTACAGGGACGATGGAGGAAAAATAATTGCAAGACGATTAAAATTCCGTATACTATGTATATTTTTTCTTTTTGTTATTGTTCTTTGAAGATTTTTCATACGTTTTTGATGAAATGTTAGTTATATGAGAAATTATAATGAAAATATACTTGTAATATAGTGCAAAATATTTGTCTAACAAAATTACTGTTGAAAGATCGCATGAGTAATTTAACATGAGTAGTAAAGTGTTTGTAAGTGTAAAATGCTACTAATGCTACAAAAATCTTTTCATTTTCTGTATCAATATATAATTTAGATTCTAACGAGATCGAGGATTAATAAACAAAAAAAAGAAAGTATTAAATATACGAATATATTTCAAATAATCTCTAAACACTCAGAACGAAATAAAATATTATTAATCTACAAGTAGAACTCTTGTCAAACCTTTCACTTTCAACATATATTCAAAACCAACTTACTCCACCTCTTCTTGTTTCACTTTGTTCGTCCAATAAAGACACGTCGTTCCTTCGCTCAAAGAGATCCGTCGGCGCATGTATTTTTCATTTATATATGAAATTCATCGGACACGATGTAGAGAGTCTCCAACTTCGATCCATTTATTCAAACGTCCAGAGAATATTCATGAACACGGTCGAATAGTTGCAAGAAGACCTAGACACAAACCATCATTGTCCGCGCACGAAAATTCTGCTTTCACGCTCACCTTTCTAAAAAAACGGAATTTCATTGGTTAGACCGAATCGATAGCAGTGCCTCCTTCCGTCAAAAGCGGAACCATCATTTGTGCTATCGGATTCTCCGTAATTACGAAGCTTTTAATACGACTCCCTCTAGTGGAACGCGAGAAACCTGTTTATCCGTACTGTACATTATCTTCGACACGAAAAACGACATTACGAAACAAGGTGTTTGCAGTTAATCGCGTCCACCCGGTTTCGAACTTTTCAAATGTATCATTTTCTCGATGAATTTCACACTGTTAATAATAAGTGAATTAAACTTGTTTAATCTTTTAGATTTCTCTTGAAAGTTATTAGCGAGGAGTTGACGCGTTGCATAACTTAACCTAACTATTGGACAATGTAGGAAAAAATGTGTTAATGAGATGAATTTGGTAGTGCTTCGTTATTTATTATTATGTCGAAAATTCATATTTATTATCGAGAATGACCGTGAGAATCTAGCTACCAGGTAAACGAAATTCGATCCTTATTTTATCTTTATGAGTAATTAAAATATAGATTGCAGAGAATGATAGCCAGCGAAAAACAAAGAGGGATAGAGCAGTTTTAGAGAATTATACAAAGAAATTGATGATGATTGGTCCACTATAAAATGAGCATAAATTTTTTATAATTATGCCACGGATATAGTTATAAATATATATGATCAAAAAAGATCGGTTTTAGAGATTAAAAAATAAACAAAAAAGTATTACTTGAAATTTATTTATATAAAATTATCGTTTAGACAAACTTTTAGATTACTTTAGATATTTTTGTATATCAATCTTGCTCTCTACAAATTCGAGTTATAATTATAATCGAATATCGGTGATTTTCGGCCGTTGAGCACGATCGGAATTCGCTTGGATGTTGTTGGATGTCATATATGCAAATTCAACGAAGCAAGGGACAAAGAGAATAGACATTCATTCGGAGAATTCTTAACGAGATAAAAGTTGAATTTTGCGAGACTAATCCTCGATTAATTAATTTTTTTACGCAGTGAGCTAAATATTTGTTATTCTCTATTTTACCGATCTAGCTAATATTAAATCTTTGAATACTAATTAATGAAATAACTCGAGACCAAAAGAATGATAAATTTAATTTTATATTTGAAAATCATTTCAGCTTGATAAACACAAACAAACCATACACTTTCATTTCCAGATATGTCAGAAAATAATATCAAAAATTCGCATCCTCAAAAACTGAACATTCTTCGAACACCTGTTACTTTCCAATTAAAAGAAAAAAAAGCATCTTGATCGGATCGCCGTTAAGCCTCGCAATCAACCAAAATCTTTCAGAACGAGAACACCTATCGCATCCGACACTTTTTGTCCTCGTAAACGCATAGCTCGAAGTATATTTTCCACCAAGAGACGCCGGGAGGTCAGATATGGTCGCAATGTAATCCCGTTAATCACGGGATGGCCATTGGTACACGATAACCATGCAGAAAGCGCCGCACATGGAACTGGTTATACAGAACGTGTGACGAACCACGTTAGCGACGTTCCATTTGCAACAGCGTGTTGTGCAAACCGAGAAGAAAGAAGCAGCAAGTTGTTGGTATCGGTTCTCGGCGATCGTTGTGTGCGCGAACGCATGTGAGAGCACCACTTGTCTCTACCAGGTGAGACGGAGGGTAATCGCGTATCGATAGGCGGCCACGACGTATATTGGCCCGATCCACCGCAACGTCGACGTGTATTGCGGCACGCTAATAGTTAACTATGATCTTACAAGTCGTTTACATACAGACCATCTGGCCGCGGTTGCGAAAAGCTGCGGAGTAAGCCTTCTGGCGGAACGTTAACGTACGATCGTCAAAGGTTGAGGTTATGTTGATGTTTTTTTTTTTTTTTTTTTTTTTTTTTTTTTTTTTTTTTGTGTAGATGTATCTACTTGTGAAGAGTTATTTAATGTTATGGATAGTGCGGTATATTTTGTTTTTCATTTATTTGTTCGTCGAAGAATCATTGGGTATGAAAGTTGCTAGATTGAATTTCTTTCTCGAGAGTTGAGGTTATGTTGGTATATACTTTTTTTTTTTTTTGTAGGTATATCTACTTGTGGAGAGTTGTCTACTATAATGGATAGTGTGGTAATTTATTTATTGACTGACAAAGGAGAAGATTCTTTTAGAAGATTTTTTTTCTTCTTTTTATTTGTTTCTATTTTCTATTATTCATTCAAGTGTTAAGGATTCTTTGAATGTAAAAGTTACAAGATTGAATTTCTTCTTTGAGATTGAGGTTGATGTTTGTTTTTTTTTTTTTTCTACTTTCTTCATTGAAAGTAATAATGTGATATTCTTTTTTTTTAACTTACTTTATTACTTTTTTTAAATTTTTTTTTTTTTTTTTTTTTATTTTTTTTTAACTTAGTTTATTACTTAAGTTAAAAAGATGAAACGACTCTTTGAACGTAAAGTTACTTGATTGAATCCGTTTGTCAAAGATTAAAGTTGATTCTTTTTCCAATAAAAAAAAAAAGAAAAAAGATTTTTATCTTGTGCTACTTTTCTATCTATAACTTATCATTTTCAATGTGTCGAGTCACTGATATTACTAGTAAATAATTCTGCAAGAGAGCAGAACTATACCATCGGTATTGGAAAATCCATAGGGGCGAAATAACGATGGCCAGATTCCAGTAATAGTTGGGTTAAGAGCGTACAAACGATATTTTCGCAAGTCTTATGCCAATAGACGGTTAACCTGGTCATAAACGGCCTAATTGCGAGAGTCGTGATTGTCGTTGCTATCGACCTAATCGTTCCGGAAACGATTTCAGAGGTTGACCCCAATAGGCGGGCGCCATTTTATTCGAGCGGCGTTTATCAAAGACAAATGTTATCGCAATAGCTATCAGAAAGACTGATTTGAAATTTTTTATTAGTTATCGAAGATCTTCGAGCACGCATCCGCGAAATGATCAAATTTTCAAATTACATTTCACAGCAAGATTAAAGATGGATCCCTAAAAACAAATCTGTCTGACATTATTCTCGTCTTTCTGTTGCAGGATCGAGAAAAAGGGCGCAAGGGCACTGTATAAATACGCTCCGCAGAGGATTTACTATCGCGATTTCTGCACCACGGAAGGAGAGAGGCGTAGCTAGGAAAAAGAATTAGCGAGGGTGCAAAAAAAGAATATACTCTAAAAGGAGAAAGAAATGGAAGCCGGTAGTATCGTCCTCGAGATACATAAATCGTGACGTGAGGGCGCGGAAAGACGAATGGGGAATGCGCGCGCATGCGCGGCTCAGAGGAGATTTAGGAATTAAGGGAATTACGTCGAAGTGCCTGCTTACGCACGAGTACGTAAGGAAGAAGAGGGATAGATAGATCTCGGGGAGGAGACGTGCGCTGAATCGTGTTTTCTGTGGAGGAGGAGGAGGAGGAGAGGTTTTAGGTGAGAATCGCCTAATAATTTTTGAACGAAACGGACTACTACTGGTCGAGCAATTTCGAAAAGATCGTATGCTTAAACCCTGGAGAGGGGTTTCCTTAGTCAACCAATCCTTCGATTCCCTGTAAATAACGAGCTCACGCACGACATCTTGCGGATGATTCGAGACCTAAAAGAGATCGGTAAGGGAAACCGTAATATAGGTCGTTTTGTACATATATATAAATTGTGGATGGATGGGGAAACGAGAGTTTATGCAGAATTATTTTCTCGTTCCATCTGTATCTGTTCAGTCCCGCGGATCTTGCCGATATCCACCAGCCAAGACACCCGCAAATCATACGGGCAACGTGCAAAATAACAGCCAGTTTCAGCTCCAATCCTGATGCGATCGTGTATTTCCATTACACACAGTATTTATTCGTTATAAGGGTAAGAATTCTTTCTCGAGTCCTGTCGAAGCGAGTAAAATTTTTTCTTCCACCTCACCAATAGTCGTAAATTCCTTTAAATATTTAGGTTTTCAATTCCTCTTTTTCTTTTTCTTTTTTATGTTCCTCGTTATTGGCGAAGATAAAACGAAAATAGAATTTCAAGCTTCTACTTCTTTTTGTGTTAGGAAACGGTCGACGGTTTTTTGTTTTTATGTCACTTAAAAATTTTATTTCTCAGTAAAAAAAAAAAAAAAAAGTGAACAGAAATACGTTTACGTACAATGTGTATATTACTGCAGTAGCGCCCTCTTTAGCATTCACATATTTCAGATATACGATATCTGGTTAAAGTTATTAATACACTCGTGAAAAATCTTTATACGATTTTTAAAAATCGATGGAGAGATAATGTTGAAGTGCTTTTATAACGAATACATACAGTGTTGGACTCTTGTACAAAGTTGTCAATATCTTTCGACCAACTCGCGTGTCCGAGTCCTTTTCTATCGAGGATTGGTCACAGCGTCGTCGAGGAGGCGGAGGAGAAGGAAGAGGAAGGCGGATCGCACAGGCGCTACTCTATCCTTAACTTACACCAGAGCAACTCTTTAATTAAACTCCCTGATGAAATATTCTCGTGTACACGCTGTTGAAAAGGCTATAGCCTAGAGCTGGCCTAGAGGGGGGGGGAGGGGGGCGGATCTTTGGAAAATTTGTCAAAGTGAAGTCGAGTCCACAGTATAAAAAACTGATTCAAAATTATTTAGAATATAAAAGTGGAGTGACGAACCTGGACCACGAGTGATCTGGACGCATCAATTTTCCTTTCCTGCTATACTCTATACTTCCATATTTGAAACTCTGTAACCCTTTTTCTCCGATTCCGAATGCCACTGGAGTTTCATGTTTGTGTATAGGTGATGAAGTCGACTGAAGTTCGTCACTCCTTGTCTCATGGATGTTTGTCCACCATGGATGATTATTATGGTGCAGTGAAGAGAATGGTTAATAAACTAATTAAGTGTGAAAAAAAAAAAAAAAAAAAAATTCGTCCTTTTTCCGCGGCGGGCATCGTGCACTCCCAATATGGACTTCCGGTCTCCTGCAAACACGCGCGCCACGAGACATCGATGATGCGATAACATTAACACGTGTGTTTCGTTTTAATTAGCATCGTATTTCATTACTTTCAACCCTTCACTCTGTGCAATATATATTGTTTTTTTTTTCTTCTTTTTTTTTTTTTTTTTTAGATCGTGCGCTCGTCGATTGTTCACGTTTCTCGTGATCAACGTGGAAATGGAACATTTCGATCTATATACGTGTGTGTATGCGTGTGTGCGAGTGAGTGAATACGTCGTGTGTGTGTTCGTATGTGTAACAATTTTAATCTCTTTGTTCTTGGATCCCTTTGATTGGATTAAATTTCGTGGTTTTTGACGATAGGAAATATGGTAGCGACGATTAAATGGAAATTTTTCAAAGGGCAACCTTTGACCCGTGGTTTCAGAGAAACGAAGATGCACGGTGCTCGAGATTGTTAATATTTTTTTATATCGTGCATGTATATCGTATAAATCATCCCTCCTTTCGATATTATTGATGGTATAGAATCGCGAATTGTTTCTCAATTTCTTTCGAAACGAGCAGAATGGACATGAAGGAAAGACGGAAGGAGAGGCAAGAGAAGGGAAAAAAGAAAAAAAAACAAAAAAGAACTAATTGTAGAAATCATTTTGTACTTTGACACTGTGTAAGTGAGTGTGCGTGATTTGCGTCGTTTGCTTCGAGAGAAAGAGAGAGAGAGAGAGAGAGAGAGAGAGAGAGAGAGAGAGAGAGAGAGGGAGAGAGAGAAAAGAAAAAATTGGAGGAGGAGATATGAGAAAGGAGCGCGATAGAAGAAATTGTACATTGTTTTGTAAAGAGTACATTTATTTATATCTGTGATAATGGGCAAGGTTAAATAGAAATGAAAAGAGAAGAGTTGCAAACGAGAGAAACGGTTGAGGGAATGTGAGAAAGAGAGAGGAAGAATGGAGAATATACAATATGGACGAAAAAATATATATATATATATATATATATATATATATATATAAAACGGAGGCGAGGAAGAGAAATATTATGGTATTGATATACTACGACGAAGATGATCGGTGCTCGTGCATTCGTTGACACGTATGTATATCGTAATAGATTAATTAAATAATAGAGACTCAATCATGGTTTTTGTAAATAATCAGCGTAGTCAAGGGAATACCATCATCGAGGGTCGAGGGTATCGTTTTATGAATCCGTGCGAGAAAATAAAAAATAAAATTAAAAAAAAAAAAAAAAAATAAATAAATAAAAAATAAGAGAATTGTAAGGTTGAAGAAAGAGTGAAGGACAATTTTGTGCGCTTCTTATATGTTCACGATCGTACCCTCGACGCAAAAAAAAAAAAAAAAAAAAAAAAAAAAAAGGGAAAGAGACCTATCTGTTGTGAATATATATAATACAGGTATTAGGTATATAGATATATATATAAATATAAATATATAAATATATATATATACATACTACACACGATTAATAGGTTCTATTTGGTTGTTCGTACGAATTCAATTGTAAATTAATTAAATTGTACATAGTTCTGAATGTGAATATAGACAGAATATATCTATTATTATTATTATTATTATTATTATTATTATTATTATTGGCATCATCATATTATTATTATATTATTATTATTGTCTATTACCATTATGAATTCATTATATTAAAATGGAGACTATTATGTTGTACATTTACATGTTTTATTTTCGTTTTTTTTTTCTTTCTTTTTTTTTTAAACCTTCATCCCATTCTTCAATCTTTTTTATCAATTATCCTTCTTTCCTCCTTCAAGCGAAGAAAGAAGATAATTGCAGTTTAAAATGCTGCATCATGTTTGTTTTAATAATTATATTCTTGATAAAAGTCCAATTTCAATATATCTAATTTGAAAATCTATACGATTTTGTAAAATGGTAAGAAGTATTTTGGTGCACTATTACTATTACTTATAACTATTATTTCGATATTCCATAATGAACGCAGCTACGTGAATATTCCAACTAGCATTTTCGAATGAGGAATTCCAAAGAAAACGCATGGTATCAAATATAATAATTTATACTTTCTCCTTTTCTACAAAAAAAAAAAACGTATCTTATTGAAAATCAAAGAATTTTAAATTTGCAATCAATTTTAAAAATTAATTGATCTTTAAAATTAAAAAAAGTTGTATCTATTTTTTTTTTTTTAAATTTCAAGATAAGAGAAATAATACAATTTCTATATAAACTTCTATATAAACATTCTGTGTCTCCTTTGATATTCATACAAATATAATATTTCAAATAAATAATAATTATTTAATCTTAATAAATTCGATTTTCGAGAGTTTAATTTAAAAATATTTAAACTAATTGCCTATAATAATATACAAACTGAATATTAACTTTCCAATTTCCATACACCAGCTCTCTAAATAATAATTTCCAAATTTACCCAATAAAACGAGGGAAAACGTACACAAGGGTCGATTAAAACGCGATACCATCGACATCGAGAGCTACCTTAATTAGAAAGGATCGATGAGATATCGGTAAACCAGCCGGCGGTTAAACGGTCGGCAATAATCGATGTCGCAAATTCATTATAAACTAATTTCGGTTTATCGCATGAATTGTCCGCCATGTCAAGTGGAAACGGATCGTTCGAGCAAGTGAAATGTTCGTGTCTTTTTACGATCGTTTGGTGCTCTCCAACTCGCTTCGATCGCCCACGGCGTTATTTACAGGTCGGATTTATGCTTGAAAACTTCCCACGAAGATTCAAGGTTCACCGGTTCGTGACCCATAAATCAGGCATACGTTTGTCGCATGTCGTTGGGAGAAAGCTCTTCTTCGAAAGCGCATCTTTTATTCCTCGCGATTTATGCCAATTTATTGTTACCGTTGTTTGTTATCTAACACCAATATCGAAAACACAATTCTCTTTTATTTATTTTAATTCACATTGTTCTCCTTCTCTATTTTTACTTTTTTTAATTTTCATAATATGTTCATGTTTTTGTTTTTATTGCTATTAATTATCGTTATATTAATTATTTATTATTATTATCGATTAATTTAACATTGTTATAGTTAATGCTAAAACAATTACCCAATCAAATAATATCACGATATAATTGCACATTAAACCATTGATTCTACATCGTAAAAATCATTGTCTACATGATAAACATTATTGTCGTTATTATTATTGTCATAGAATTTGCTCAAGGGATGGAAAAAATTAAATAATCATCAATTAAACGTTTTACTTTCCAGTCTAAAAATTTATTGCTAGTTTCAATATCAGAAAAGAGAAAAAAAAAATAATTCTTCTCTTAACTAAACTTTTACATAACCTAAAAATAAAAAGAAGGAAGAATACCTTTCTTTTCTATAAACTGCCTACAGTCTCCACGATTCTTGCTTGACTCCATTAAGGGGAAGAGAGAGAAATAGACCCATATTGCCATGCACTAAAATCCTAAGACCCGTAAATTGGACAACAAAAGGCCCTGTAAAACCTCGACAATCCACTAAGACAAAGGATCCGCGGGGCTATAAAGTCATAAGCTGTTCGGTTATGGCGTTCCATCTTGCGGCGGTGGTGGCGCCCCCTAGGCCGGTGCACGGCAGATGCGCGGCGTGGTTTACAAGAGGCGGCCGTGCCGCGACGGCCCTTATATCATTCGCGACGAAATATATGGGATCTCGGTACCAGTTGTTGAACGTGTCGCGAGGCTCTACGGGTGCGCGGAAACCTTTCGCAACGCGGTTAACCGTCTTCGCTCGTTCCAAGCTCGAAAACGGCTCGAATACATCTCATCTCGTTTCGTTTCCTTCCGATGAATATACACACAGATCGTACGAAGGGGAACACCACGTATTAAGCGATGATTTAACGCGTGTGCCGCGAGTGCCTACGAAACGAGCGTAGAAAATGCAGGATAAGAAATTTATTCATTATACAGAATATTGGGACAAAGAGTAAGTGGAAAAAGATATGAAAATCAGGTATGAAAATTAATATATGTATAAAATTAAGATATAAAATTAATAACGCGTTCGTTGGAAATATTTTTTAGGTTATAAGCAATTTTATTTTGTTATGAGTGCTAACTAAAATGAGATGGAAAGTGTGACAAAGATGGATTTGGTACAGTAAAAAAAATAATAAATTTATCGCCATCTCGTTTTATTTAATATAATTTTCAATTGCTTATAATTTGAGAAATATGATTCAATGAATATTTTTATCAATTTTTGTGTTTGTTTTATTTTTTAAAATATAATAATTTATACACTTCACAATCTAACAATAAATTGGATAAAATTTTTTAATTATATGTATAAATTATTATATTTATTATCAAATAATAGATTTTTCTATTACTTAATCAAATGAATTTATTTTTTATTTTATTCGAAATAGATAATTATTTTTTATTTCTCTTTGAATTCTTCTTTAATGAAATTTCTCAAAGGCGAAGTTTAGCCACAAATATAGTTACAATAGTAATATTAATAATAGGAATAACAACGTGCAAGGACCGTATCGATAACCCCGTGCAGAGCGGTCGAGCATTATCATAAATTTGAACGTCCACGCATTCCTCTTCTTGCATATACGGTTTGGGCCCCCTAGTATTGGGCCATGATCGGTGTTCTTTCTTCGCTTAGCCTCACCTTCCTCACACTCGAAACGTCTCTGCCCGCGACTGCAACCCCTTTTACGGCTTACTTTATGGCAAAGACTCAATTTGAACCCGGCAGTTGGTGTCCGTTCCCAGTGACTAATATACCAAGATGCACCGCGTGGGGTGTAGCCATGATACATCGTTCGCGGTGCACTGCATTCATGCCAGGTATCTTCTCTCGCTTCGAAGTGAGAGATCGTTCCTCCATTGATTCTTTAAGTTGTAAGTGGCTTGTTTCTTCATGCTGCTATTTGATTAATTCGATTTTTGGCGAATTTTAAATTCGATTCTTCAAATGTGCATTCTTCCTAATTTTTTGGTTTTCGATTTTTTACATGCAAAAATCGCAACGAAACAATCTGATAAAATTTGAGGATAATTATTTTATTATTATATGAATATAATTGTAATAATATAAAGATAGTAACTTTAGAACTACAATACTAAATAATTATTTTTCAAAATTTTTTTTTTCATTTTTCATATTTAAAATTTATAATGAAAAATTTTGAAATAAAAATTCTCAAATATATGTCACGAAGTCCATAAAATATCAAAAATATGGCAAATCCGAATTTTTTTCATAACTACTCTTTCAATTGACTTACAGAGTCTTTTAATATGAGGTTCTCTCTTTCATATGAAGTTAATTATTGTATAGTCTATTAAATTAATTCGATTCAAAAAATACTTTCGACCATTCCGTTGTATATCGTCAATAGACGACAGATGATTGTTTTATATGTTGGATGAATTGTGCAGATAGGATGTCAGTTAGAAAGATCGACATTGTTCAAGGAGATAAAGTGTGCCATGTAGGCATGGGAGGTCTTAATCGATCTAGTATCTGATCGTAAGTGTCGCGTTGCATTGGAACGCTTATTGATCGCTTATGAAATTAGTTTGATATGCTTGTTAGAGCAGCGTTTGTAATGTAGATCGTGACAAAGATAGTGTACGACTATGTTCGGGTTGCGTGCCTCATTCGAAGGGATTTAATGAACCAGTAGTTAATGACAACGAAATAACGCATGGAACTACTGTAAAATTGTCGTGTCAATCTTTAAATGTTTAATAATAGAAGTTTAAAATAAAAAGTTCGATATAAGAATGTCAATTATATAAACTAATAAGAGGATCGAATTAGGGAATATGTCATAAAATAATTATATTAGACACAATAAAAGTAAGTGAGTCATTTTTAGATATTATCTTTCTTCTTATCATTTTGTTTTCATCAGTCAATTTATTTTACAAATTATAATAAATTACTTTCATAGGTTCTTATCAATAATTATAGATTTATTAAGCTTAATGTAATTACTTAATTTATTATAGCTTAATAGCACTATCAAAATATAAAAATAATAAAACTTTATATTTTTGTTTATATAATATTAATTCAAGACAATCACATCATAATTTAGGAAATTAATTCAATTAATTTATTTTGTTTTAATTAATGTTGCTGTTATGTTCTTAATCTCTTTCTAATCTTTTTTAAGCTTGTTCTTAATCTAGTAATTTGATAAATTTTAATTTTTTATTAATCTTTAATTTCTCTTTTTTCCAAATTTGTTTTTAACTAATTTTTTAAATCTTTATATAATTATTTTCTAAATTATAATTATACAAACAAAATTGTGATTGTTAATCCTATATTAAAATCATAAATATATTTTGCAGATATTGTACATATTCCAGATTGATCAAGAACGAATATTCGATCAAATTTTGATTTTTTTAATACTTATTCCTCATTGAAC